CAGTATACATATAGAAATTCACAGAAGCATTCACAATAAGCAAAGTGGCAGAGGTGACATATAGCAATGTGCTGTAGGTGCTATGCTAGGAGAAGGCTTATGAATGTAGTTGGTGACATCATCGATGAATGACGCTATTGACGATATTGTCAGCACTATGCCTGCATATGGCTTGTGTGTAATACATTGAGATGTTGTTGATGATGATAAATGTGCGAGTTTATTGACGGACAAAAGGAGTGGTAGAATTTATTGAACGTGCAACTCAAATTTGATGAAAATGGGCGGTAAGTAGCAGAGATTTGGAAAACTAGTATGTATATATATATATATATATGTTTATGAATATATATGTTATACGTATATATATATATATATATATGCGTGCTTGATGTATATACACTCCGCTGGCAAACACTTAAAAGGTTCAAAATATTTATATTGTTAAAAGCGTTTATATGTGTTTGTCGACACATACTTTTATCTCACTAACCAAAAGTAGTGGTACACTTCCCTCAAAGGCTTCACCTCTACACTAGGCTCACAGGCTGTTATGTAACTGTACGAGTATGTGTTTCGGAATTTTGGTTGCGAATTTGTTTGGCTACAGATTAAGGTAGCCCAACATTTCGTGGCAATGTGCAAAATTGCAAGGATAACTGTGACTTTAACACGCTGGCACAGCTGATGGATGTTGCTGGCATGGGTGTTTGGGGTTCGTACGCAACACATTCACACCTCGAGTTGAAGCATGTACTTTCTAGGTTATAATGGTATCTATGTATCTACATATAGTTGAATTAGATATTTGATATTGACAGAGTTTATGGACAATATTTTGGTAATAATATTTGCAATGGTATTCAAAGTATAAGAATGTGAAGGAAAGCTGTACCCAATGATATAAAGAAACCCTGTTTCTTCCATTTTGTATTACAAACAACATTAAAAGTTTTCCAAAGTCTCATTTATATGTAAAAATTTTAATTTTTTTTCCTTTGTCCAAGAATGAAGTTAAGATTTTAACTAAAACACTTTTCATCACATTTGATGATTCTGTAAGGAGTTATCTTGCCAACGCGGACGTACCCTTTCCCAAGGGGACATCGGATTTCCGAAATTCTTTGTTAATAGTGTTTGTTTGTAACAATAAAAGAATCTAATAAAAATCTTTAATATTTTTAATGAGAAAATAATTGTTGGAAAAAGGTTTTCACGAGAAATCCATGTAACACCTGAAATCTCAACTTAAATTTTATATAAAATTGTATTTTCACTTTCCCTCTCACAAGCTTTGCATATTATTTGTGTTGAAAGCATTATAGGCATAATGCCGTGTTGTGGTTTTAGCGTTAATCCCGCCACATAGCTCCACATGCATATATATTACAGTTATGCTAACGTTATAAAAATTGGCGCAAACACATACACACAACAATACTCGCACATACACGTAGGGATTTATTTGTAAGCGCCTAAAATCAATATTTTCTTTTAAATGTGCATTTTTGGACAAATCCTTGAAATCCTTTAACCGTACCATATGAAAATAAATCAATTACAACAACAGCAAGAGCGTAGGCGAATTAAGAGCTTTGCCCTTAAATACAAATCGTTCTGGGTTTTTTGTTGAATATTTGTTTTTGCTTTATCATTTACTGCCGCTTTGGTTTAACAAGTCGTTTGCATTTACCAGCAAGCACACATACTATAATGTTTATATGCATGTGCGACTATGCATTTAATTTCGTAGCAGCGAATATATTTGCCTGGCAACCGCAATGTTACAATTTTCATTAGCGTGGCCGATTAATCCCTTTAATCCCTAAGCCGTTTTTGAATTATTTTAATGCCATCGCTTTGTAGCTTCAGCCAACGTGCCAATGAATACACAACCTCTTACACATTTCGTATATATATGTATATTGGTGTGTTTGCTTTGTGGCACGCATATGTATGTATTTTATGTTTCACTTAATATTTGCAACAAATAAAAGGGGTCGCTATTAAAGCCTGCCTTTGGGCGACGTACAGATGGTTGCATTCATACCATCGTGCTATATCTATCTGCATATGTGTGCGCGTTAGGTAGGCTGATCAGCTGATTTTTATATATTCTTGGTAGCGGTAATTTATTTTAAAGCCTCTCTTTGACTGCCAGCATTAGTAGTGGATTATCGAAAATAAGAATCAAAATTAATGATTATATTGAATTTTAGTATTATAATTCTTGTTAATACTAAAAATAATTGAAATCATTATTTAGAATTACGAAAAAATTCCAAGCTTAAAATATTTTTCCGTTCAGAGAGTGTGGTTTGTGATAATTTTGGTTTGATGTATAGTATTATATATTTTAAACCCCTATTCGATGCTTTAAGGTGCTCATTTTGTGCCTTGGTATTATTTAAGTGGTTACATGGGTTTCATTGGGTAAAAACAGCCTGTTTAGACAATGTTTTTCTCATATAAAAAACTAAATATTTTATTAGAATTTTTTGTTGTTCCAAACACACACTATTATCAAAGAAATTCTGAAATTCTTGGAAGAAAACATTTTAAACTCGGCGATGGCGACATAATTTCCCGTGACCAATCAGAAAAAATACGCGGAGGTGTTGAAGAGAATATGTTTTTAATTTAAGACCTCAACGAAAAGAAAACCGAAATCGAATTTTTGGCAGACACTTTTACAAACAAAAATGAACAAATAGTTGTAATAAAAAAAATCCTTCGTCCCAAGTAAGAATTATTTCTCAAAGATCTGTGTAAGATGTCATGAAGATCGGTTACGTACTTCTTGAGAAATGCAACCGACTTCAAAAACATAGATAAACAAAAAAACGCTTTTGAAAACAGCGCACTTAGCCTAGCTAGCCTCGAGCGCTCAAATTCTTAAGGCTGTATCTCAAAAAGTATTAATCAGATGAACGTAACCGTAAACCCATGTAACTAATTAACACAGCTGTGAGGTCTTGATAAGGCTTTTTCATTGTAAAAGTATATACGAAGCTTTCTAAAGAGCTACTGTAATTATAAAAATGCTACTTGAGTGTACTCCGAAAGCGGGATCGTACTTTAATTCAGCATTTTAGTAAAGCGTTCCTCTAACCATTGTATCTGAAATACTATCATGACCATTGTAACACGAATATCACCCTCATAACATGACCATTGTAATAAGAATATCGCCTTCATAATATGAGTATAAAACTGTACAAGTCAATCATTTAAAGGTTTTGTAGACCCATGACCATAGAGCTAGCCGAGAAAAGGGCGGCCTAAATGCTAAAAAAGAACTAAAGTCTTAAATTTTTTTGGAGAAAAGTGAATAGAGAATCGATTTTTCTTGCTTTATAAAACATGTGCAGTGTCGGACAAAACTCATGGACTAACGCGAGTCTCACAAATATTCCGTCATCCCTTTTAACATGTGTCCGTCATCACTTTTTACATGTGATACTCGAGTTAGTCCAACGAGTTTGGTGCGATACTGTATATTAGGGTATAAAAACACTTTTAGTTAACATAAAGTTCAAAAAATGTTAATAGGGTGCGATATTCTTCGAGTACCACCGTCCCGATCTCAAAAAAGCAGTTTGGAGAAAAAATAAGTTAAAATATTAAGTGTTGGCGCTGATTGACCTAAAAGCTTCTACTTTTCTGCTGATTATTCAGGTTAAAACAATTTTCCACCAATGGAATAATGTTATTGGTATGTGGAGTATACTTTAGAAAAATATTTTTACTTTTTTTGATTTTTTTTTTAAATCTTATACTAGCCTAAGCTGTTAATAATTTGCTGGAAAATGTATCCAAAATTATTAAATGATTTCCAACTCTCCAATACTAGAACTCTCTACATTATTCTGACTTAATATACATACGCTTAACAAATCTATATATGGTATAAGCACCTATATATTCCAAGTACACTTTGATGAATCCTTATTGCATAGGATTAAAGGATTTGCCCATTGTATGGCTCCACATAGCAAAAACACATGGTTTCCGAAGACATACTGCAATTACACATTCACTACAGCTTTCCTTGATTCCTCGTTCGTTCACCACCTTTGCACGCACACAATGCTTGACAACGACTGGTCGCACAACCGAATCGTCTGTGATTTGATCAAACGAGTGTGAAATGTTATTATTTTAATGAAGCGGTGTAGGGGAGACAAACTAGTAACTAATCCTTGAACAAGCATTGGAAGTATTAGGAAATAAATAATAATAGGGTTTGCAAGGTTGCGCTTAAGCATGGCACAGAAATTTCCAAAGCGTAAAAGCAAAGCCAAAAAGGGATTATAAATTTTATAATGTTGGATACGCAAACGTATATGTATGTGTTTATGAGAATATACATATGCATGTAAGCTGCTACATGTATCACTATAATTGAGGGATAAGTGTGCATATAAATTTATGGATAAGTAGGCAAAGGAAATCCGGTAAGTCCGGGTATGTAGTTGGTTAGGTGTATGTGTATGAATCGTTTGAATTAATTGTAGCGAAAGTGGTTGCTTTAAGACGAATCTGAGGCAGCAAACTTTTAGATATTTTATAGTTGGAGATTGGCTGAGATTTACATATATATAAGTTCAGGCTTGTTGGTTAGCAGCTGGCGGCTTATAAAATTTTAGAGAGAGATTGAGAGAGATAGAAAATATTAAAAGGGTTTTTTTCGAAAGAGCATGAGAGCATCAGTTTTAAAATGTTTTTCCACAGCCTTTATTTTCGACGATTGTAGTTCGTGAAATATTGTTAGATGTTCTAATAAAGAAAGACGGTATGAATCATACATTCTAATTATCTGTTAGATTGAGGAATGTACTACGGAAAAATTTCGAGATTTTGGAACAAAAGTTTTGAGAACTCAATTTTTCAAAAATGGGTTTTTTAAATAACTGGGACTGCAATTCTTTACAGTGATTAAAATATGTACATAATTTAAGATGTGATCGATTGAATAACAGTAATATTGTTGAACTCACAATTTACTTTCGCTGGATCAAATTCACGTGCGCGGCTTTCCAAAGCCGACGGCGTTGACGATAACAACTGCTCCGCTTGTGTGGGCACACCAGCAACACCGGAATGCAATGAACCCGCAACACCGCTCGCCATGCTGCTAGCGACTGCGTTCAATGCAGCCGGTGGTAAGCAACTAATGCTACCAACCAAGCCGGGGTTGGCGCTAGCAACACCACCACCATTGCCGGAGCCGGCACGTTCATCACGTTCCATTAGCTTTGGTGTGACGGCCAATGAGGCATTCTGACTAGAAGGTGTCGAGGAGATGTGACGTTCGTTGTCTGCGCCCATATGTGCGGTGGCATTCGGCGAGGAGTTGGCATCTGTGGAGCGTGAACGCACAATAGCCGTATTGGCGGCACCAACAGCCAAGCTAGCCGCCAAATTGCCGAAACGCGGACTACGCGCCTCATCGTGGGCGGCAAGTTGTTCACGTAACTGTTGTTGATGCTGCTCATGCAATTGCTGCTGATGTTGTTGCTGTTGCTGTTGTTGTAAATGTTGCTGTTGTTGCTGCTGATGTTGCATCTGCAATTGCGCCAATTTGTCTTGCACACCTTGCAGCGAGGGGCGTCGCCGATAATTGGCCGCAGTCACACCACTCCCACCGCCTTCATCGATATTGGCGACAGAAGCAGCACCCGGTGTTGCGCTGCTGCCGCTGCCGATGCTGTGTGGTGGTGACAACGAATGCTCTTTCTTCAGCGCCAACTCAGCTAAACTGGCTGTGCCGGCGGGTTTGATGCCCTGCGCAGCGGCGGCGGCAGCCGCATTGGCTGAGGCGGCTGCAGCAGCGGCGGCGGCATTTGCAGCGCGTGTCAATGCCAAAGCCTGGCTCTGCAAGAAAAAGAAAAATTTTTATTTTAAAAGCTTGAGAATAATATATAAAATAAACTAGTATTACAGATTGATTTTTGTAAGACTTATTCTTTGCTTAAGTTTTTATTTGCTCAAATAAATGTTGGCTTAATTTGGTATAAAGCAAGCTGCCAACAGATAATTAATTGTTTATTTATTTCTTTAAAGCAGCGAGTTTCTCTTTTCTATCCTCACAACTATTCTTAAATATGTGTATATTCAACGGTTTTTTTGATTTTCAATATTAGTTTTGGAAATTTGTTGCTAATTGTCGTTTATTGTCAGCGCAATGCCTTAAAGAGTAATCACGGCTTGAGTAGCAGACAGCCCAATTTCGTTCAATTCTGACACGCTTGCTTGCTTGAATGAGCTGCCGATATGTATGTATTAATATTGTGTAGAAAAAAAGTTCGCCACTGATCGTCACAATCAATTTCATGATCACCATTGAATAGCTGCTTTGCACGTGTGCATGAATAAATATACACGCCATATACATATATGTTTGTATGTAACATTATGCTGATTGTCACTGTGATTGGATTGATTTACTTACTGATGACACTTGATTTGTTTGCCCATCAGCGCAGAGCTTCTAATGATCGACACACAAGCTGCGGCTCTTGATTGGCGCAACAGTTTGCCAGTTGTCCGTTTCATTGTACGCTTTTTCTTTATTAAAAAAATCTATATATATACAAATAAATAGCAACTTTTACTCTTAAATATATTTAATTTAGGTTTGGAAAATCTAACGAGCTGCCAGTGAGGCATATTGCCCTAATTGAATGCCTCACATGTGTTTATAGTTTTTTTAGCTTTCAGCTTCTGTGCACGGCACATGCCATTGAAATCACAAAAAA